ACATTTAAGGAGTGGAGTTGAAAAACCTTGCTTATACAAACTTCCCTGCAGAATGGAGAATCTAGCTAACCTGGTTCTCAGCTTTGCTGCCTCCTTGGGGTCTTCTGGCAGGGCTCCATTTTGGAGATACTCCAAGATGGGGTCCATCCAGCTTGGTGGATTCTATATGGGGAACACTTCTTCATCTTCAACACTAATGGATGGTTCCGCCAGATGCTCCACGAGGATCAACCTGTCCAGATTTTCTTGTGAAGCTGTTGTCAATCTTGCCAAAACGTCTGCTCTCAAATTTTCAGTTCTAGGGACATGTCTGATCTTTACTTGCACAAATTTCTTGACCAATTCTTGCGCCTTTCTAAGATAAATGGTCATCTTCTCACCCTTAGCCTCGTAAGCACCCTCTATCTGTTTCACCACGAGTTGTGAGTCACTGCAGATCTCCAGTTACTCGGCTTCCATTGATGAGCTAAGCTGAGCCCTGCTATGACTGCCTCATACTCGGCTTCATTGTTTGAAGCTTTGAATCCAAATCTCAGTGCGTATTCAACATCTATCTCATCGGAGGAAGTTAAAATCAAATCAGCTCCACTGCCCTGAGCATTAGTAGCTCCATCTACTGAAAGTTTTCACGTGGGGAGGTCAGGTACTAACTGCGCTATTTCTATAGGTATCCCAGTTGTGAATTCTGCAATAAAATCTGTCAATATCTGCCCCTTAATGGCTACCCTCGGCTTGTACCTAATGTCAAACTCACTAAGTTCAACGACCCATTTAACCAGTCTTCCTGAAGATTCCGGCTTCTGCAGCACCTACTTCATAGGTTGATCTGTTGAGACTTTGATAGTGTGAGCCTGGAAGTAGGGTCTAAGTATCCTGGCGGTTGTTACTAAGGCTAAAACAAGTTTTTCCATTTTAGAATATCTTTCTTCTGCCCCCTTAGAGCTCTGCTGCAGTAATAAACTGGTTGCTGAGCTCTGTCCTTCTTCCTTACTAGCGCTGCACTGGTTGAGAACTCTTAGACAGCCAGGTAAAGGGTAAGTACTTCTCCTTCTAATAGACTTACCAAGACAGGTGGGGAGCTCAAGTATTCTTTCAATGCTTTGAACGCTTTTTCACACCGACATCCCATTGAAACACTTTCTTTAATACTTGGAAGAAGGGATGACACTTGTCGCTTGATCTGGAAATGAAGCGACTCAGGGCAGCTATTCTCCCAGTTAAACGTTGTATTTCCCTCTTGTTGGAGGGAGGCTGCATATCCAACACTGTTTTTACCTTTTCTGGGTTAGCTACTATCCCTCTGCTATTAACTATGAAGCCCAAAAAATTTTCTGCTGACACCCCAAAGACACACTTAGCTGGGTTGAGCTTTAACTTGTATTCTCTCAGGACCTGAAATGACTCTGCTAGGTGTCCAATGTGGAGCTCTGCCTTCAGTGACTTGACTAGTATGTCGTCAATATAGACCTCTATGGAAGTCCCAATCTGTTTTTGAAACATCTTATTCACCAGACATTGGTAAGTGACTCCTGTATTTTTTAACCCGAAAGGCATCACTTGATTGCAGTATGCCCCTTGCTCAGTTATGAATGAGGTCTTATATTGGTCACTGGAATCCATCCTGATCCGATTGTATCTAGAAAAGGCATCTATGAAGCTGAGGAGCTCATGTCTCATAGTGACATCTACAATCAAATCTATCCGGAGTAAAGGAAAACTATCTTTCAGGCAAGCATGGTTGAGGTCTGTAAAGTCAATGCAAAGACGCCGTTTGCTATTTGTCTTCTTGACTAGGACTACATTGGCTAGCCAGACTGGGTAATCCACTTCTCGAATGACTTTCGTGTGAAGGAGCGTGTTAACCTCTTCGTTGATGGCTTTCTGACGCTCCGGGGCGAAGCTCTTCCTCTTCTGCTTAACAGGCTTACAGGCTGGATTCACGCTGAGCTTGTGAGTGATGACAGAGTGATCAATCCTATTTATGTCCTCTTGCTTCCATGCAAAAATTTCTTTGTTTCTTTTCAGGAATTGGATGAGGAGATCTTTGATCTCCTTGCTCAGCTTGGATCCAACGTAAACAAGATGCTCTGGCTCCGCATCAATTTGAACCGGTTCCAGCTCTTCTGATGATGTTAGCCTGGTCTCGAGTTTATTCCTCATGTCAAGCTCTTCTGATGATGAGTTGGATTGACTCTAGGGGCAACACCCTTTCACCTGAGAATCCCAATAGGTGGGCACTTACTGGTTCAAGATTTTCCCTTCCTATATCCATTTTGTCGAAAGCAGAAGTAAAAATGATGTCTGCCGAGCTGCCATTGTCAATTAAAACACGATAGACAGTTCTGTTGGCCATCACAACTCTTACCACCAAAGGGTCATCATGGGGATGTTGGCAGTCCTCCAGATTTGAATCTGAGAAAGTGATAGTCGTGTCTAAGCGTGGTTACTTAGATACAGTATATACTTCGGGGAGCTTCTATGGCTCTGATTCTTCGCAAGTGGGCCTTTCTGGCAGAGCTGGACCCTCCTCCTCCGGCAAATCCTCCAAATATTATTCTGATCACCCCCATAGGTTGCTAGTGCGACTCTGGTGCTTGACGCTGAGGGGGTGGAGGTAGGAGAGCTCGATTTTGATTATCATTGGCCACATACCGTCGCAACTGCCCTCGTTGGATTAGAAATTCTATTTTTTTCTTCAATTGGATACAGTCGTCGGTGTGATGACCATTGGTCTCTATGGAAGTCACAATACTTCGTAGGATCCCTTTTTGCCGGGTCTGCTTTCATCCGGGGTGGCCACCTTAAGAACTTCTCATTTTACACCTCATACAATATCTGCGACACCATAGCAGTCAGAGGAGTGAGCTGTCGGGGTGCATACCTTGGTTGTAGCTCTGGTTGTGGAGGGCCGAGGCGATCCCTGACATTTCTTTTTCTCTGTCTCTTCTTGGAGACCTGCTTCGTTCTCCTTCCTTTCTGAGACTTCGTTCTCTCTTCTTTTCTTCCTTCCCATTCTCATTTCTCGACGAAGAGCTCCTGACCTTAGAAATGAGCACTTCCTCACCATTTATGTACTTTTCTGCTTTGGCAAGCACCTCCGTCATACTAGTCTGGGGGTTATTTGAGATGGAAAATATCAAATCTTTTGACTGAACCCCCAGACCTACTATGAAGGCTGTAATAGCAAATTTTTCATCTAGGACATCCACCTTCAAGGATTCTGAGTTGAACCATTGGATATAAGACCATAGGTTCTCATCAGGTCCCTGTTTCACATTTAACAAATGGTAGCTCGGTTTCCTATAGATCTGAGCTCCGATGAAGTGGGACACAAACGAGATTGACAGCTCTTTAAAAGAGGAAATCGAGGCTGGGGGAGTCTGTTAAACCATGCTAAAATTGAGCCCTTTAGGGTGATAGCAAAAGCTCTGCATCTCACTGGATCTTGATATCCATGCAACTTCATTTGGTTATTGTAGGTGTTGAGGTGGTCAACTGGATCTTTTATCTCATCGAAAGTATCCACCTGTGGTATTCTGAATTAAGGTGGTAGAGGGAAATGTAGCACCCTAGAAGTGAATGGAGATTCGGTTTGCTACACCAAGGCATCCATAGTGACTCGGGCCTTGCTCTTCACTACCTCCTTCATCTGGCTGAGCTCTTGCTGGATGTCTTTGAAACGTTGCTCCCAGTAGTGTTCTCTTCTCTCCTGTTGATAAGGGAAGAAATCGCTCCTCTCCCCTTCCTTATACTGACTTTGCACTTTCTCGTTGTGACCATTCCTAGGGGGTAGGCGAGGTTCTTACCCCAAGGTCTGGCTATTCTCTCTCACCTCATTAACTTCTCTAAGGGGGTCGAGATACAGTTACTCTATTGGTGGTGAATTATTCTAGCCTCCTTGGGCCGATCGCGCCTCTTGTGGGCGTTGTAGGAGCTTTAAGAGCTCTTCGTTCTATTTTATCAAACGTTCATTGACAAGACGAAGGGTCTCCATCTCATTATTCATGATAAGGCCCTCCATAGGGGGATCGACTTCTTGTGCATTTTCGGGTTGTCTGTTATTTGCGACTTCCTATTGATCTTGCATCCGTAGAGGATTGGTCTGATTTCGGTTCATGTTTCACGTTGATACCATTAATCACTGAAAAATTAGCTTTATTTGTAACATGAACAGTCATTCTCACAAACGGCGCCAAACTGATGGTATAAATCGAATTGTATGAGTAAAGAATCGTAATTATGCTTTGCAGTGATGGTGATATGATAATGGAAGAAATATTTTTCTAGAGGCTGGAAGGATTAACACAGAAGAAGTATAGTGGTTCACCAGCTCGGGAGCTCGACTAATCCACTCTTTAATGGAGACTCTTGCTCCTTGCCTTTCAATAAAGATGATTACAAGAGTACAATGACTATTTTTTGCCTCTAAAGTCCTCTCTCCTTCTTTGGGGGTGTTACATAGTATTTATAGGGCTGTTCCCTATTCAGTGGGATCTTGGTCGAGATTCTTGCCCTTATTTTGTGGGCTTCTCCTTAATTCTAGGAGAAAATCTTGGTTGGTTAAGATTGGGTGCCTTGATTACAACCTCCTAATGCTTTAAGATTCTCTCGTGGTTATCCAGCTGTTATCTTGCCTTAAGAGACACTCGGCCCTTACCCTCTGACCTCTGCTAATGTGCCTGACCTCCTGGTCCGAGCTGACCTCCTGAGCTTAGCACTTGGAATTTACTTTAGGTATCATCAATAATCATAATCAAATCATCCAATATGCACACTGACTACCAAAAAAATGTCATAATATAAGGACTTATATACTATTTACCAATAATAGCTTTGTCATTGCTAGGCTCTGTCTTCTCGCTAGAGTAATACATATAAACATCTAAGCTACTGCTGAAAGAAAGCAAAAAACCACAGATATAAAGCAATCTAAAGGTCTCATCAGTAGTATAACCAACATCTCACACAACATCAAACTTAAAGTTACTTCTACTACTTACTTCACACAACAACGGGCCTTTGATTCAATGGTATTCCTTACGTTGTGAAGGTTTTGCCTTCTTGAGATCAAGATTCAAATCCCCCTTCCCTCTCCCTACCCAAAAAAAAAAATTTGACTAAGAAGCTGCAAAAATACTACTAAACACCTAAAATCCCTAGAAAAGTGAAGCTAAGAAATATGTAAACCTAGACAACCAAACATACCACATTTCAAAATTTAGCATATAACACCCAAGGCAGAAAGCAAATCATGAACATAAACAAACAGCGTGCCTCCAAAAGTCCAGGATAGCTAAAAAATGCCAATTTGCATAAACTAATTTTAGTGGTCATCTCCTTGAGCTTACATAAACTATGATGTAAATCCAACGAACTACTAAACCAAAGCTTTCTGATTTCTTGACACAGAGGACAAACTAAAGTCAACCTCGAAATAGATAAATATCCTCCTTGATAGAAATAACATTAAGGAAATGCCATTTACACTCTCTTGAAATCAAGATACTAAAAAATCAAATTGAAATTTAACAAACTATGCACAAACAACTGAGTCAAATTAGTTTTATTAAATAGCCAAAATGGGAGAGAAAGTTGTCTAGGGATCACACAAACAATATAGGGAGGCATAAACATTCTGTCAAACTCATGAGTTTAACCCCAAACAGTTTATTAAACACAAACATTCTAAAACCAAAATTAACCCATTTTGGTGCAAGGCAAAGAGAAAGAGGGAGAGAAAGAACTGACTTGATAATTTTTAAATGCACATATGACCAAAAAATTTTAAATAGCATTTGGGTTTCCCCCTTTTCACACAATTTTCAAAATGTACCAAAGAGCAATAAAAAGCCATAAAGAAAGCTTTTATCAGATCTGTCATGGAGATTTGTTCATCATCATTATAAACTTTGTTCCTCCACATCTCATTTAAATCATACTCTAGCAATATCAGTCTACATTCAGAAGGCACTATACAATTAAAAAAAATTGAATATTAATTGTGGACACAAAAAAGAAATCAAACAATGAACATAGACACACATTAAGCTCAACCAAATCACCCAATGCCTAAACTGCATCCTTAATATATCCGCACTTTACATACATTATTAACAAAGTATTACCTATATAAAAATTATCGCAAAGACAAATTTCAATGAAGACTTTAAAATACAACAAAACTATGACAAAATTACATTTAAGTGTCGGCCTAATGCAAGCACTAGTAGTCTATCACATTCCAAGCACCAGTAGTCTATCACATTCCAAGCACCAGTAATTAATTAGGCTATGAACAAATTTAGAAAGAGAACTTTTCCCATAAATCAGCAAAACATTATACAAAGCAAAAAAAAACTTGTGAATTCTGCATAGTAATACCAGTAGTACAAATCCAATTGATATACAACCAATAATTCAAGAAGCCCACAAGTAAAGCAAATCTTAAAAAATTAAACTAAAAGAGCTGCATCAAATGCTTACTCATGGTGGTGGGTAATCAAAATGGCTCGAACAGAGCATTCAAGGTATGTTTTTACTGTAACACCCAATTGGGTTTGGACCATTTTGATTCTAATGATATTATGAATCAGAATTAACTTAGACTTCATCATAATTGAGTTGTGCTTGTATATGTAGAATCTCATCCTATTTGATTGATAACAATTCTTGCTTAATCAAATGGGTTGCTTAGCAGATCAAATAGGTTTTTGTGGTGCCATCAAAACAAACACAATTAAGCTTATTACTACCATACTCAATAACCATAAAAGAAAAATACATAATTAATTTGCACTTACCTGAAGGACTAAAGTTCAGAACTGACCGCTGCTAGCTTATTACTATGATATTATCACGCTCACCTCAGATAATAAGTGCTTCATATTTCACCTGTATAACGACAAATCATAGCAAAATCGATAATAATCATAACTGTTTTGTAATATTGTTTTGAAAAAAGCTCCACCAACATTCTAGCTGTTCTACTGTGACATTAGTACCAGAAGCAAAGAAATTATTGAGTCTTTGAATCATAAAGGAGAATGCGAACGACACAGATTTCTTAAATTCTGATCAATCAAGCATGAGAAAGAACCAACGTTCTTGACTGTGACACGAACATACTCAGGGGCATTTGATCGAACAACTTGTGGGCATGAGCAAAACCAAACAAATAGAGGTAGAGAGACAGACATACGAAAACAAAGAGCAAAATCAAACAAAGAGGGGAGAAGAAGAGGTGATGGATCGTATCTATTGGGATTGGGCCCGCACGAGAAAGAGAGGATGGTGTTTGCGCAGAAGAGGGATGGGGAGGAAGGGTGTTTGCGTGGAAGTGACAATCTGAGAGAGAAGAAACTAGCATGATTTTGGGGGAAGTGACTGACCGCCTGATAGAGAAGATACTGTCAGCATATATTCTTATAAGATTTTAGGGGAAGTGAACGGGAGAAGAGACTGAGAGAGCCGTCTGAGAGAGAGAGGAGACTAATTTTGGCGAAATGACTGTGTTTACAGGAAGTTGTTGCTGTGGGTTGGGTTAGTTGGGTTGGATTGGATGAGATGATTTTTTTGGGGGAGAGGGGGAAATGATGATATTGTGAATGATTTTAGGCCGTTTGATGAATTGATTTGAGATCATTATATGTTGAAATCGACCTGTTTTATATTATAGATCGATAAATTTAAGTTATGTTATGATTGGACAAAGATATATAATACTAACATATAAGTATAACCCTATTATCTATCAATTTTGGTGTTGAACAAAAAGAAAGCCAATGTACAGCATGGCACAGGCACACATATGGACCACACCCAGAGAATATATTCAGGGAATCTGGGCCCTCCATCACATTCCAAACCCCAAACTCATCTTAATTCACCCAAAAAAATATTCCTCTATCTTTATATATACAACCAGATCATCCTTATGTCCCACAAAACCGCACAATGAACCAATCACAACCTCCAACCCAGCAAGAGCCCCCTCACGCAGCTTACAAAATCTCTGCTCTTCTAGGTCCCACCTCAGCCATAAAGAACCATACCCCGTCGTACACAATATTAATTCCCAATCTCTGACCCGTGACACGTCCCATCTATGCCAGCTGTCCCTACGCAAAAAACACCTCGACAATAGTGCTCCATTCCCATTAATCCAATCAGCGCCCGCCACGTTGTGAACCTCTATTCGCTAGAATCTCTGGACTTCCTGTGGGACCTGTTCAGCTTCTCCGCGAGTGCACCAAGTACCTGCCACGTGGCGTCACCTTCTCGCATTTGATCGTGGAAGAGTAGAGCCCTCCTAACATCAGGGTCCCACAGGTTCCTCTGTATGGCTGTGAGGTTCGTGGCTGCCACCTGTTCTAAAATGGGTCCCAACTTGTCCACGTCATTCTCAGCCACCGTGAGGGATATCTCCGGCCAACTGACGGCAGAGGAGAAAGGCAACCGGATGCCATCGGCTATGATGACCGGCACGCAACCTAAAACAACAGACTCAACCAATCTCGGACTCCATGGGGCCCACCCCAATGGGCACAAACAAAACACTGACCGAACAATCTCCGACTGATATCCGGCGAACCTATGCCTCTTTAGGTAAAACCTCCGGTCGCCACCATACTTCTGCAATATCTTCGTCCGTACACGCCTGTAATTATTCCACAAAGCTAATGTTAATTTGTAATCAACCAAACAAAAGTTCAAAGTGCAAATTACACTTTGACCCCTTAAGTATAATCCCAATAATATAAAATCAATAACTCAAAAGTATTTAAAATCATAACAAATAAGAATTATAAATTTAAACGTTTTAATTTTAAAATTTTGCAACTTTTGAGATTATACCATGAAAAATTTATCATCATTCATACTCCAATTTAGCTTTTAATCAAATCAGAGAAAATATTAGTTGATGACACATAAACTGACTCAATCACACTAACCGTTAAACCCAAAAAAAAAAATTAAATCAATAGCCACAAATGAGGAAATAATTTGAAAAAATGAGCTTAAATTCATAATTACGTGGGTCATAGTGTAATTTGGAAAATTGAGGGTGAAAAGTTAATTTTTTTTTTTTTTTTTTAATCATAGGGTGAAAAGTTAATGAATGAATCATTACTTGCTGTAAAAACGTCCACTGATATTCTTGGGATGTACTTCCATTTTGCCCCTGAAGAAAGCAAATATGTCCCGCCGGCTACTCACCGGCGACTTATCTAGGGTAGACCGTACACTTTCCGGTGGGATATAAGGTGGTATTACTACATTTTCGACGTCTTGACATGGGTGATGATATTTAACACCAAATGTTTGCAATATAATCGAATTCTTCAAAAACTCCGGTATCCCATCAGCCACAGCAACATCCTCCTACTCAAAACAAAGAAATAAATTTCAAAAACAAAAACTTATTTTCAGAAACAAATTTTCGTTTGTTTCTTTGTTTTTGTTTTGGCTTACCATGGCATGAAAGCAAGCTCCGTAATCGTGAGATGCAACGAAGACGTGGTCAAACCCTTGACTTCGATTCCAAAAGGGAAGCTCCGCCGAGATAAGCTGCACCGCCGATGCTAAAAGACTCCGTGCGTGACCTATAGCAGGGAAGCCATTAACGGTGCTAAAGTTGCAGGACACATAAACAGGGACGAAGAAGAAGTCAGCCTCATTGGGGTTCATCGTCCGTACATCGCTGTTTAACATAGCTCTGTGTATGGCCACCTCGGAAGCGAACAAATGGGTGCTACAACGCTCGTTTGATAGCCAATCACGATTGTATTTCGATGGCAAATCGTATATGTACACTTTTAAGTTGTTGAATGGACCTTGATGGGTTCTGGACTGTTGGAGAGAGGTGGTGTTTATGGATTCGAAGAGAGCACGGGAGGCTAGGATGGGGTTAGAGAGAGAAACGGTTGTTTTGGAGAGAGAGGTGGTGGGTTTGTGGGTGATGAGGAAAGAGGCAAAGAAGTAGAAAGAAAGAGAGAACCAAAGAAATCTGTAACAAAGCGTTCTGATCTCTTGTTGTCTTCCATGTTTGCACTGTAAAAATCTCATTTTGACATAGAAGCCTCTGTTCCTGGTTGGTCTCTTCAACTCCACCATCTTTGTCTCTCTCTCTTAAACCCCCACCACCAGAGAGATTGGTGGGAGGATCTATTCGAAGGTTGGTGTCTGTGAGTGTAGTTGTTGAGATGGGGCTTTCGCAGTTGAAGTAGAGATTAAGAAACAGAGATTGAAGACATGGATTTGTTGGAAGTTCGTGTTTCTTTCAAAAATTTAAAATAAAAAACAAAGCAATAAAAAAAATCAGAGAGACAACATCGATTTTGTTTTAAAAAACAACTTTATACATACATATATGAGGTTTGGTACTTTGGTTGTGTTCTGTTGCTTTCGAGAAAAAATTTAATCATGGAGACGTGCACTAGCAGAGAAGAAAGAGAAAATTTCAGAGAGGCATAGAGAGAGAGAGAGCGAGAGCGAGAGAGAGAGCAGAGAGGTTTCAGAGGGTCACATTGTCCCTCGAATATCCTCCTATTTTTTAATTTTTGTGTTCATTTGTATTATCCATTTAATAATATTATTTAAATCAAATTTATTGTCATAATTTATCAATTTAATTCATCACAATCATTATATTATTTGTATACCAATTTTTTTTCTGTTTTCCAAAAATATAAATGTTAGAAAATAAAAAATAGAATTTAAAAATGAGGGCAGCTGATTTTGTGACTTGAGCAATTACAATCTTTAAGATAAAAATTACATCTGTAAATATAACATGGGAATGAGCAAATGAAAAGTTGAATAGGAAAGTAAAAAATCTCACAAAAAGTTTTAGAAAGTGGATGAAAAGGTTCTCATAATACAAGTTTGTTTTAAAATTCTCTCAAAAGTTGGGTAATTCTAAAATTCCCTAAAATATCGTTATGCTAATGTAATTACTATAAATAATTTGAGGAATTTTCCAACCGGTAAACAATGGTATTTTATTTTTTTAGAGAACATAAGTTTAAAACCTCCGGGAACTTAAACAACATTGAAGGAAAAAAAGACAGGACGAAATGGTTATATTGAGGAGTGACTATCAAGGAGATAGTTCAATCCATAATCCCAATTTGGAGTTAACACAAAATATATTATTTTTCTCTTAGTAGTCTCAGTTTTGCTTCTAATTAAGTTAAGCCGTGATTGATTTGAATAGTCGCATTGAACCTCAGGAAAGTTCAAGTGGTAATAAAAATCTGTTATAAATTCAGATATTTTAAGTTCGAATCTAGATTAAGTGATTTATTCCTCGTGAATACCCTAATCTCAACGTAAATAGTCTGTTTTAAACCTGGGAGGAGATTAATCGACATGTGCATATGTTAGATCAAACATCCTTGACTGTTAAACAAAAAAAAAAAATTCATGTTGAGTATATTACATACTATATCCATAATATAATCTCTACATTTTAGGTGGAGAATTTTCCAATTTTAGGACCCGAAAATTTTCAAAACTAAACAAAAACTTTTTGAACATCGTCCCTTCACTATTAAGTAGAGAGTGCTCCTAGCACAATCAATTGGCTTATTATGTAGTGGTTATGTATTGATTGGTTGTTTGAATAAAGCTTGGGTATGTCATGGACTCGTGTTCTCTTCCCCCAAACCACTTCAACCCCATATTATTATGGAAAATTTGAAATGACTTTCTTTTTGATATCTTTACGCCTTTTATTTTTATTGATTTTTTTATATTGTCATTTAAATGCGTTATTTGATTTCACATTATTTCAAATTCAAACAACTATTTAAGTTTAGAGAAAATATGATCACATACCCGGCTATTGTCCCCTCAATTATGTTCCCGCTCAACTATGTTAATTGTTGTTATGTCATTTGGTTCGATTCTTTACCGTTAAACAGACTTTGATTAGAAAAAGAAGAAGAAGAAGAAATAAAAAATATCTATCTGTTTTGCGTTCCTGTCCATTTATGCCTCGTTTTCTTTGATTAGCAAAAAATAAACTTAATTTTTATGGTTCCAATAAAACCATGTATACCCGTCTGTCTGCCCCTTTCAATTTAAGTTCTGAAAAACTCCCCGAGTGGACGCCTTGAACTTCATGGATGTTGACAAAAGATTGACAATGAAGCATATGAATATGAGAGAGAGAGAGAGAGAGAGAGAGAGATGCTGCTTTTTGTTCTCGTCATCTATCCTTATCCATTGGCTCATGCAGCTATAACCCAATAAGCTCTAGCATTCTACCATTATTGAGGGTGTAACGTGTAAAAGTTGAATGAATGAAAGTTTAAATAAGGTCAAATAACTATGGGTCAAGTCTTGAGAGTAATTGAGGGTGTAATGTGTAGGACTTTGTGAAGTTTAACATTAATTGAACCATTATTGTGGGATTACTCGAAGAATTGGTGTCGAAATTGTTGAGAATATGATGAAACTGAATTAAAAATTATTGTGTTCAGGTGATAAAGCAAATAGAATTGAAGAGCTAACAAAAAGTTGTTGAAGAGCCTCTGCAATTAAATTCTTGATAACACCCTTATTCGGTCCCTTTGTTTTTGTAAAATATTATTAGTGATTTATTGCATGCGTGAATATTTTAGAATTCAGAACCTTTTCTTTATTTCCCCGCATAAAACCAACAACTTAGAGCACTTTTAAAATCAATCTGTCTCTAACCACCGAATGGGATTGTTTAATGGAGTACTGGCTAAATTTCTCACCTTGTAATCCACATTAGAGTTCGGTGATTGACTGTTATGCGAGCTTAATTAGGTTTATTTTCGAAAAGAGTAATGAACACGATTAAGAACTTCTTTATTTTACTAGTGAGGACCTATCAAAATGATTTGTGGGCGTTCTTCTTTGTCCCACCCCTAAAATCAATCTCTCCCTCTCAATCGACCCCTCATCAATCTTTATCTAGTGTTGAATATTCCAACAAGAAAAAATTGTGGTGTAGAAGAACTCTATTGAGAAGGACTTGGTCATTCATTATCACTAATAATGCAGTTGTATTGCGTGTGCTCGACTCCAAAAGCTACCAAATAACATTTTTTATAGGTCATGTTCGTCATCATCTATGGTTTTAATGGAACACGCAAGAGTTCAAACTAAATTATTGGATTTGGCACAACATAATTATAACTTATAATAAGATTTTTTTTTATTTTTTTAATAACTTATAATAAGATGCACTAGAATTAAGTGTCAAATGTGGAGCACCCAAATGCTTGCATGTCAGCTAAACAATTTTAAGTGGAAGTCAGTGTCCCGTGGAGATTAAAGAACAACAAGACAAATGGTCTGTTTAATTTGCATCTCAAAGAATAGTATTCAAAAATAATTTTTTAGAAGAATTTTAAGAAAGTGTTTTTGAAAATTGTTAGATTGCAAAACCTGTTTGATTATATATTTTTCAAAATAATTTTAAAAAACAAAAAATTATAAAATCTGCTTGGACAATAATCCACAAAACCCACACTATCTCTATCTTTCTTAATTGTCCATCTCTTTGTCTTCACAAAACCCACACACACACACAAACATAAACACATGCACGCACACACACACACACACACAGTGATCTACACAGATCTGTGCGAGAGAGAGGGCTCCATATTCGTTGCTTCAAATCTATGCTTCAGTGCTCCACCTTCGTTGCACAGAGAGAGAGAGAGAGAGGGGGGGCTCCATCTTCGTTACACAGCAATCTACACAGATCTATGCTTCAAACCTAAGTAAAGGGCTCCATTTTCGTTGCTTCATATCTGTGCTTCGGTGCTCCACCTTTGTTGCAGACAGAGAGAGAGAGGGAGAGAGAGAGAAAGAGAAAGAGGAGATGGAGACGCTGGAGAGAGAGAGAAAGAGAGAGGAAGGAAAAAAAAGAAATGAAGACTTTTGCTACTAGGGGGACTCAAAGGGTAGACCTCATTAAATCCCCAAAATTATTTTCCGTATTTTCATCATTTTCAAAGAAAATTCTAAAAATAAACTACACTTATTTTTTGTTTTTTTGCTCTAAATCTCATTTTTTTTTCAAAAATTTGAGAACAAAAATGCTAAGCAAACATGTTTTTAGTGTTTTTAAAATTTTGAGAACAAAAAACTGTTTTCCAGAACATAACCAAACACGCCCAAAATCTCTTCTCCAACCTTTAGCAGCCATGGAACCCCGAATCTACAAGTGGAAATGGTTCGAACGAGGTTATGTCAATTACTTGCCCCGGTATTGTTTCGGGTCAAGGTTCTTGTAGTGATTTTATGGGTAATATGTTTAACGTTAATGAAGGAGGTGGCTCCCTTTATTACACGTGTTACGACATTAAATGAGCTCACATGAGTGACTAGACAAGGCACGTGAGAAAGACATCAGTCACTCTGACAAATAGACTAAGCTGAGCTGTTCAATGAGTTCGATGAGAAAGGGCTGAGTTGTTTGATGAGTTCAGTGAGAAAGGGAAGAGGCCGGTCCTCATTGTAACCGAGCTATTTGAAACAGTCAAACGAAGAGCAAAAGATTTGCCTATAACTCAGGCATCCTGGATAAACAGAATTGCTGAATTGAAGGAAGGTGTGCCACCTTGAATTGAGAATCATGGAAACCCTAACTCAAGAGGGGATTACAAAAGGCACAAGGAGCCAAGGTGAAAGGTACGCTGAACTCTCCCTATTCATTGCCAATTCAATCAATTCCATTTCTGACTTAAGCTTCGATCAAAACACTTCGATCTTGGGCAGTTTGCTCATTTTGCATGGAGAAAGGACTGCTAGATCAAGTTCAGATACACTCTTTACCTAGAAGTACCAAATTTTAAACTAGTGGGAGATGATTTCAGTTATGGCCTCTTACATTTTTGGTGTCGTCTGTGGGAAGATTTTCATCCATTGAAACAAAAAGCTACGATGTCAAGACTCAGAAGTGCCATCGGATCACCTATAGGCAGTTTTGCCTTAGGGAATTCTGATCCATTGTCACTTCTGTCTGATAGCAACGTTAGATTGCATGTTAACAAAAGCCCATCTGAACCCGCGAGGATGACGAAGTATCCTTAGCAAGTTTCAAACCATCCAGGAACCAGAACCAGCAAGTTAAAGCTCATGGTGAATCCCTCCGTGCCGAGGGAGAAAACCACTCCTTAGCAAAATTGGTCCAATCCCTGTAGGACTGACTAGATGCGCATGATAAGTTATTCAAGAAATCCTACGCCAGGGAAAAAGATCTAATAAAAAAGAACGAAGAACTCAAAGCTAGGTTGACAGAGATGACTAGGAAGGAGAAGCGAGAAAATCTCAGAAAGAAACATAATAGAACCAAAAAAGCTAATGATGATAGGAACAAACAGAAAAGACCTCGAGTCTAGGAGGAGGACTTATGGAAGCAGTTCATTATTGAAGAACTCAACAACTGTTTAAAGAGGCTAGAGTAGAGATCAGCTAGAAACCTAGCCAGAAGAGCAACAGGAGAATACAAAGACGGTTCGGAGTCATCTTCTTTCACTTCGTGG